CAGTGGGTCAACCCCTGTGGAGCTTAGTGCGCCTGAAGCTGTTCCTGTGCGCGCTGATGACCTCAGTGGGTCAACCTCTGTGGAGCTTAGTGCGCCTGTGCCTGTGGATCCTCCCAAGTCTCCTACCAAAATTGATGGTGGCTCTGATGCTGTGCCTACAATCCTTGGTGACCCCGAAGACCTGTTGGACCTTGAGGCCATGGTTCCTTTTTTACCTTTGCCCACAAGACTGTATGTTCTTCTAAAGTTTTTCCTACTTTCGTACTTTAGTCATCTTTAGTCAAACTCTATGCCTTGCAAGCCAACTGAAGGCTCCATTGGTAACGCGGCGATGCCAACTTGGCACAGAAGACAATGATAACACGGCAAAGGTGCTCAAGAAGCAATCTGGGAAGAACTCAAAAGAGGAGGAAAAAGAGAACCAAGATCAAAAAGGAACAAGAAGACCCCAAACCCAGAAGACTGCCGAAGACAAGAAGCCAAAGAAGAAGGAAGATGAAAAGGCACCCAAAGCCAAGCACCCCAAGGCAACAGCCCAGAAGACAGAGAAGGAAGATGCTGAGGAGAGCCCAGAGAAGAAGGATGAGAAGGAGAAGGAAGAAACCAAGAAGACAACACGACGCAGATCCCGGAAGACAGATGAAGAGAAGAAGCCACAGGAGAAGGAAGATGAAGATGCACCCAAAGCCAAGCGCCCAAAGGCAAAAGCCCAGAAGCCAACGAAAGAAGACGCTGAGGAGAGCCCAGAGAGGAAGGATGAGAAGGAGAAGGAAGAGCCCAAGAAGACAACACGACGCAGATCCCGGAAGACAGATGAAGAGAAGAAGCCACAGGAGAAGGAAGATGAAGATGCACCCAAAGCCAAGCGCCCCAAGGCAACAGCCCAGAAGACAGAGAAGGAAGATGCTGAGGAGAGCCCAGAGAAGAAGGATGAGCAGGAGAAGGAAGAGCCCAAGAAGACAACACGACGCAGATCCCGGAAGACAGATGAAGAGAAGAAGCCACAGGAGAAGGAAGATGAAGATGCACCCAAAGCCAAGTGCCCCAAGGCAAAGGCCCAGAAGCCAGAAAAGAAAGACACTGAGGAGAGCCCAGAGAAGAAGGATGAGAAGGAGAAAGAAGAGCCCAAGGCAGCACGACGCAGATCCCGGAAGACTGATGAAGAGAAGAAGCCAAAGGAGAAAGAAGATGAAAAGGCACCCAAAGCCAAGACTGAGAATGAGAATGAGAAGACAGACTCGAAAGGGCAGAAGGAGTCCAAAGGGAGGACTTGGGCTGGGAGGTGGATTCCGCATTCCTCTCCGAATCAGCTCCGCAAAATGAATGCGATTCGCAAGGTCTTTGAGGATTGTGTGATGCGCAAGGTGAGATCCCAGTCAACCTTCCAAAGCCCATTCTTCAAGTTGTGCAACAAGGCCTTTTTCGAGCAAGGCCTTGGGGAAGATGCTAGCTTTGATGACTTTGTCGCGGTGGCGGAACTTCAGGTTCAGGCATTCATGCACAGTGAGAGTGTGCGTACTTGGCCTGTGATTATGTTTATTTTGTGACTGTTTATATCTTTTTACCCTAAAGGTCTGGGGCTCATACTTTCAATCCCTGAAAACCTTGTCCGGTGTTTGTTGAGGGACTTTCCAAAGCCTTCAGTGTTCAGGTAAGAAGCTGATCACGGATGCATGAACAGCTGAGAAGAGCCATTGAGTTAGAGGTCCGCTCTGGCTAACCAGAGGAATCTCTTTGGGGTTTCATTGGCCTTGTTCTCAGGGAACGTCTGGCCCATGTAGTTTTGGTTTGAACACGCCTTGGCCACAGTATCTTCACAGTGAAGCTCCAAATGAACATACTATAATAGATCGCACAAGTACAGCTGGTTCAAGGTAGGCCAAGGGCCTGGGGTTGTCATGAAGTGAAAGCTCAGTCCTGTCTTCCCGATTGAACATAGGGTAGATGCTCTCCGTGAGCCCACCTGTGCAGCCGGGAGTGAACAGTGAATCTGGAAAACGCAGCTGCGGTTCCACATCCAACAAATTCCACAAATACATTTCTCAGCGCACCCCATTAACAATGACCCCTTCCTTGATGTCTTTTACCCGTGCAAGTACCCATGCAGGACGGTGCAAAGGCATGCCGAAGCTGCGTCGGGGACAAAGCTTTTTAGCTCAACGTGGATTCTTTGAAGGTAAGCCTGGCTTGTCTGTGAAAGAGTTTACAACCTGTGATTTAATTCCATGTCCATGAGCTTTCTTACATTCTTTTACACACTTGCAACCAACAGCTGTGTGGCATCAAGACTGGCCGCCTTTGAAAGCATCGGCTGTACCAATGGAGCCTCATGTCGAGCTCGCCGTGCGCAGAATGATTGAGTTGGAAGTGCCTAAAGAAACCTATCTTTTTAACATCCTTTAACAAGGTCAAACACTTGTTGAGTGTAGTAGTATACTTGTATTGCTGTGTCTTTGGAATATCTCTGAGGAATTTGTCCTCGTCGTTTTGCTCGTGAGCTTCCTATCAATCCAAGAGTGGAAGGGTGGAGGTAACGCATCTCTTGACGTTGTGGAACTGTTTGCAGGGGTTGGCCGCATCGGCAAACTGGCTTCTTGGATGGGGTACCGCTCACGGGCATTCGATCTCACCTACACGCCAGTGAGGAACCCCGAAACAAAATTCAAGCGTGGGAAGCATCGTCGTGGCGCTATGGACTTAAATGGGAACGCTGGGTTTGTGAACCTCGCTTGAGCAAATCTTGTACATGTTTTTGTGGGTCTTCCATTATGTAAACAAAGGGTGTGTATTTTCCACAGTCCGTCCACCCTCTCATCCCAGGCTGGCCATAGCTTTGTGTATTAGTGGGTCCATTGGAGGTGCACTCTTCACCATAGCCGTGGTGTGCTGGTCAGCTGTGAACTTAGCCACAAGCCAGCGTGATTTGCTGACACCACTTGGGAATCCGTGCGTCCCAGCTGTGAGGGCTGGCAACCGCATGGTCAGCAGGACAGGACAGGGTTGGTTGGGGCCAAGTCACTGATCCCTCCTTGGTTGACTGGGCCCACACATTTTTGGGGTTGTGGACTAATCTTGGCCCTGAGGGTGGCTTATATATGTGTGTTTCTGTACCTGCTGGGGCACACCTGGTTGATCGAGAACCCTCAACGATCGCGCTTGCTGCTCCACCCCTGCCTCCAATGGGCAGTCAAAACCATCCAAAAAGCTTCTGGGAAAGCACCTTGGCTTGGCGGCTCACCTCACTCAAGGTTTTGTGGAGTGCCCTTTTTGTAAAATAGGAAACCTTCTTGGGACTACCTGGGACTCGGACACTTTTGGGATACCTTGGAACCAGTCACCTGAGGTATTCAGAATCGATTTCTGGATGAGAAACTATTTATCACCTTCCATGAAGCCAACCATGGTCCTCTCGAATAGCGAAGTCTTTGAGGCACTGGACTTGGGGCCTGTCTCCAAGCAAAGGAAACGCAGAGCTAAATCAACGACGAAAAGCTACCGAGACTCCAAGGGAAAGGCCCGCTACTGTGGAAAGCCAGAACTCAAGACTTCTCAGAATCTTGTGATTCAATTGTAGGTTTACATCCTTTTCTTTTTAGGTTGGGATAGTTCGGATAGTTGTGACCTTTCATTTGGCTCTCTGGCAAATTGTGTTGGTCGGCCACCAAGGATTTACCCGGCTCCCTTTGCGGGGAAAATCGTGAAACTCCTTCCTGCAGTAAAGGCAAGCCCCCCATCCATCCAGGTGGATGTTTCTCGGTCCTACTACTGCCAGTTTCCTTTGTTGCTTTAATTGATCACCTCCCACCTCCAATAGTTTGGGGTTGGACTTTGGATTTGGGAACCATCCGGCTGAGGTTGATGCCAGTCGCCCTTTGCCACATCTTTTTGCACAGATGCCTTGGAGTGAGCGCCCGGAGGCGTACTTGGACGAAGTCATAGATTATCTAAGGCGGTCCCAGTATTTGGAAATTCCAAATGAGTGGGTTCGTTTCATCGGAGTGTGAAGGCTCCACGCGGCAAGCCTCCAAAGATCTACAGTCTTCCAGTCTTCTGTAAACCTTATTCAATTTAGTTCTTTGATGTTGGCTTGTGATGGGAAAACAAACTGGGTTTGGTGGATGTATTGTAGATCGCTGCTGGTCCCCACGAAGTAGTCTGGACACACGTGGGGGATGAATGCCAACAAAAACAACAAAAGAATGGGACGTGTTTGGACTTGTTGTGTTTGCAACTGTTTTGAAAGAGCGTTTTTACCCGGCGAAAAAGCGCTTTTACCCGGCGAAAGAGCGTTTTTTTTTTGGATGTGTTTTTTCAAATCCTGTGGGCATCTTGACAGTAACTGATCCCTCATGTTGGCAGGATAGGCCAACAATGGCCAACAATTCGAGTGCATCAAACCTGTGTTGGTGGTCTTTGCCGCCTCGGGGGAAAATCGGGCATGCGTGCAACTGTTACACAGCCAATACAGCTTCCCTTGAACTTGTTTGTAAACATGTGGGTTGATGATCGCAAACTACTACATGTCGTTCAGTTGGGTTCAACACTTGAAAGTGCCGGTTGAGTTTAGCTGATGGACACCTCACAGTGCAAAAGGCTGCACTCCCATATTTGGTCCTCTGAGACCCTCCTTGATGGCATGAGGGAAATTGGATCCCAACCACATGCTTTTCTTGTGAAAGATGAATGCGATGAAGCTCTAGTTCAAGAGTACCATGTTTCTTGCCCTTTGCTTGGTAACCTTTACTTGATTATACTTGAGTTTTTTTCCAGTGTGGGTGGGGTCCTTACTTTCACAACCTGTGGGTGAGAGACTTGCTGAGGCCATTCAAGCTCAACTATCCGCCCTTGATGAGGAGGGGGGAGATGATGCGGAGACAGGAGAGGTGGAGACCCAAAAGTATCCTCAACCCCCAGGCCCAGAAGAATCAGATCTGGATGCCACACTCCATGATGTGGATTTACTATCCGCTTTGCAGTCCTGTGCCACTGGTCTATCACTTGTTCTTTTTTCATGGGGCACGACTTCTTGGATTTCTTGGGAAAATACATCAACATCCCCTCAAGTCGTGATGTCCCGAGGCAAGTGATTTGGAATCTGATGGTCTTTGCGATGGATATTGCAGTGAGGAGTTGGAATGGCATGCAACCACACCGCATGATGTCAAACCAGGATCTGATATTCCCAAGTCTCCATCTGTGGATCCAGACTTGCACAAAGAATCTCCACTGGAGGTTCCACTAGTTTCAAGTGTTGAGAAAACAACGCCTCAGATGGTGGCATCTCAACAGCCAACTTCGGAGGCAGGATCCAAGACAGCCCTTCCACCAGCTTTGGGTGATTCAATGCCTGGATCCAAAGTTTCTGAAGAAAACTCTTTTGAGATGGGGTCAAACACTGCATCTCCACAAGGTGTTGGGTCAGGATCCACCACACAATCAACCTTGGCTGCGATGGAGAAACCAGGGTCTATGTCAAACAAGGGAACACCTGCTGAAGCCTTACTTGATGACGCCCTTCTAAATGAAAACGTTTTGAAAGGTGTGGTTGCTGGCTTTAAGTGTTGCTATTTTGCCCCTGGGGTCAACCCATGTACCACCCCTTCTTCATTCGCGGTTGTGCATCCAAGGAGCGCCCTGTGACAACGCCATGCAGGTGCACTCTTCATCGTGAGGGTGATGCGGAAAGGCCAAGGCCAGAGCCTGGCAAGATCAGAATCTCCCAAGCCGCCATGGACTCGCGAATGCGTCGCATTTTTACCCCAAATGTGAAGGGTGAGTATAAGGTGTCTGCGGAGATTGTGAAACAGTGGAAGAACAAGAAAATCTCGCAAAAGCTTGGAACAGCTATTTCAGTCATGTGGGTTCTCGCCGGAGCGGGCAGTTGAAATTGAGCTCCGTTTTATTGTTGATGTCAGAGAACACCAAGTTGTAATGTCAACACTTCATACCTTAGAAAATTGGTCATTTGCTTGGGGGTTCAAGACAAAAGTGAAAGCGTCCTCTGAACCACCAAAGTCTAACTCTTTGCTCCCTGGAGGAGGCATTCATCGAGGAGTGTGAATTGTTGCGGGCAGATTCTTTAGAGAACGACTTGTCTGTGGAGGGTGAGTTCATCTCTGAAGAAACCATGGGCGAATGGGGTTGGTCAGAGTGACTCAGCCCATTAACAAAACAACTTAACATGTGGGCTGATCACATGTTTGATACTTCCTCCCTACGGCCTGCGTCTGCCTCAGGACACGCATAGCTGCAGTCAAGGCTGACTGCGCCAAACAGCCGAAGGCCCTGATGAGGTGGGGGTCGCCTGTGTACACATTGTGCTCACCTGCCGACTCTACCTGTGTTGGATTTGTAGGCGTGACCGCTATGAGAAGAAGAAGGTCCTATATTGGGCGGAGAAATGTGTAAGGACAACACGCAAGTGCCTTGGTTAAAATTCACTGTCCCAAACCTGGCTAAACAACTGGGCCACATTGGTGTAAAGAACCCCCCATGCCAGCCATGAACCCCAAGACCTTTGTTAATTTGCAATGAGTGATGCGCCACCTGCTGTGTCAGCCACTAGTTAGGCAAAGCAGCAAGATCTCCATGAACCGCCGTGTTTCCTGGGAGCAACAGCCGCCCCACTTCGACGACTATGACCCAGACTGCCTTCAGCATGGTGCTGGTGCACTCCAGCAGTTTGTGCCTGAAGCCAATGGCTGCTCTGGTAAGGGAGGTAATGGTACCCCCACTCTGAAACGACCTGGTGACCAATTCAAGACCCCTACGCCGGTGAGACCCAGGGTTGCTTCGCCAGCGGCTTCCACACATACTTCAGGTTGGAAGTTGGTAATCCAAAACCAAGTTTTTCTCTATATTGTTTTCTTCAGCCTAACCCTAACTAAGCCACAGTCCTCCCGTGAAGGCCCTCCGGAGTGTGATGATGAAGACTTGGATTCAGATGCTACTGTTGACGCAGAGGAGGCCGAAGGTGAGAACCAGGCAACAAAGGCACGTAAGAGAGCAGGCATCCCTGAAGTCGATGTAGATCAGTTACCAAGCTCTGTAGCCAACAAGATGATGAATCTCAGCCCAATTGTTTCAATATGCTTGTAAGCAATCCAATAGGAACAAACTGTTGCTTCAAACATGACTTGCCCAAAGCAACATTTGAAAACTGTTCCTGTTTTCCCTTATAACCCTGCTGCCTCCAAGGACGTGCATGGACAGGCGGATGGCGAAGCTCCAGGTTGGCCTCGACAACAGTAATGGGAAGGACTTGACTAAGTTGCAAGAGTCGAGCTTCACCTCAACATGGTGTTTAGAACATATAGAACGCATAAAGCATCATAAAACCATTTTTGTAGTAGGGCATGGTCTAGCATCCACACTTGCTCAGGATGGTTACCAAGATCACGGAGGTTGTGGAATCTTTGAAGAAACACCGTCAAGAAGTTGAAGATGCTTTTACTCAGGGTGTTCTACACGGCTTCACGAAGCAGTCTTGTACTTAGGTATGTTGGACTGGCATGGAAAGGTTTCCAGTTCATCACTTCACCTTTGTTTTGGCCCAGGTCGGAATGCCGTCTACAGGAGATCTACAACCAGGCATCTTCTACGCCTCATGCTCAAACTCTTGTGGCGTCAAATTGCGAAGCACTGTCTGTTGAAAATGGTGTTGGGTCAAAACTAGCTGAGGGCCGTAGAGGCTTTGCTTCTGGAGACAAGGATGAGGCTGGTCTGGACTAGTGATCTTTTTCTAGAAGTGTTCCAATTCAATAACTGTGTTCAGCCCTAGCTTGTATCAGCAACTGCAAGGGAAAAGTGATGTATGTTTACGTGATCCTGTGAGGCCTGTTCTTCCCAAAGCGAAAGCGAAGGCCAAGACCGTTAAGAGGCGTACTGCTGCTAGAACTTTAGCAGCAAAAGCTAAGGCTAAGGCAAAGGCAGGGCCGAAGGCTCCTGCAAAAAATGGTAATGAGAATAGCGCTGAAGGCCAAGTGCCACCTCCCAAGACTCAGAAAAAGGCCAAGAAGTAGCGTTGCCCTGAATGGTTAGAGACATGTCCCACCTATCACCATCAACTATGAAAGGTGCTTGGGGAAATGCCACTTTGATGGCCTTGGAGGTGGCCAGTCTAGCAGGGGGATAGGAATGGTTGATGCAGCCAACCATGTGTTTGCTAGCGGTCCATTTGAACAATTGGAGTCCAAACATATAGCTTCCCAAGAAAATGACCCTTGCCTAATTCGTGACCATGTTTGCTTTCAAACATTTTGGGTGTCAACCTTCACAGAACAATGTGAGGGAAATGGCAGCGTGTCCAGTATGATCCTGGACATTCTTATTTGGGGTTTGTTCCGAAAGGAAACGTGTGAGTGCGATGAGATTGCAAAAAGGCCTGTGCCATCCTGTGCCTTTGGATTTTCAGTGCAACCAACAAATGTGTGCATAGTGAGCTCCAATAGACCCAAAAAATGTTTGTAACATTTTGTAACTTATAGTCACTTATAGCCGACATGTTGGCCCTGTTTGAACTTTTTTTGGGTCTGTTTGGAGCCCGCTATCATGCAACAACATGGCTCATCCCATTGAGACTCTGGGTGTGCCAGGTTCTAAAAAAGATGATGGTCCTGATCTCACTGCTCTAGCTGAAGCAGTGGCCGATGGAGTCGGTGTCTCAAAAATGTTTGACACCCTCTAACTAGCTAGCATTTTGCCCACTAGCCTTTTGTCTGAGGTGCCCGCGGTGACAGCTCAGGGGATTCATCTTGATGAAGCCCAGAAGGATAGCAAGCCTTGGAAAAAGAATTGCTGCAGGAATGTATGGTCAGCTTTTCGCCGGCAAAAGCTGGCGCCCGATGTCAAAATCAGCACGTACAACTACGATGCTGGCAATGGTACCATTGTTCCTCTATCCTACGTGGCCCCAAGTGATTTGGTGCAATACCTTCTGATGCATCACCCTGAAATCCTTGTAGGTGGGCTGACTTCACAAACTGAGAGGTCCAAGCACTTGCAAGCTTTTTGGGAGGCGTTCCGCCTTCAGGAGGGAAGCCACATGGTCTTTGAAGAGCACAATGATAACTTGGCAAATGTCATCCCTCTTTTTTGGCATGGGGACGAGGGACGGGGCAAAAGACGTGGTGGTACTGCAGTTGTATCCTGTCAAACAGTCATGGGGTTGCATACAGCTGTGAATGTGAAGAAGCGCAAGATGTCAGAAGACTGTTCGTGTGATCCGCCAAACAGAGTGAAGAACAAGTACAACCATGTAAGGCCCAAACTGCCCCAGTCAATGCTTGAAGCTCTCCGGTACCAAGCAACGACGCAAAAAGGTCATAGTTTTCTTCATCAGTGGCCTTTGTTCGTTCTTCCCAGTGCAGTTCTTCATCCATACCCTAGGGCTCTCTTGGAGTTGCTTGAGGTAATGGCCTTAGACTTCCGCAAGCTCTTCTTTGAAGGGGTGTCAATTGGACAGAGGAACTGGTGCGTGGCTATTTGCGGGGCAAAGGGGGACTTGAAGTGGTTTGCAAAAGTTGCTTTACAGAGAAGTTTCGAGAACCAAGGGCGCGTCCGGAACATTCCTTGCTGTCATGAATGCTTGGGTGGTACGGATGGGGTTGCTTGGGAGGACACCAGTGAAAGCCCAGTCTGGGCTCCCAGCCGCTTCGTTGCCCGGCCTTGGACCGATAGGCCAGTCACCATGCCTATCCCATACTGCCGGAGTGCTCCAGAAATGCAGTTCAAACGAGATCCCTTTCATATTGCCAAAGTTGGGATTTTCAGGGATTGCGCTGGATCCACCCTGTGCTTCCTAGTCTACTATGGATACTTTGGAGATGTTGGTGACTTCAGTGAACGATTGAACAATGCCCACAGTATGTTCTCCTTGTATTGCAGTACAACAAGCAACACTCCGGCTTTAAGGTCGTTCTCCCGAAGCCTCATGATGTACCCTAGGTTTGCAGCGTACCCATGGGCCAATGTGAAGGGAAGTGACAGTGTACTTCTCTTGAAGTGGTTGGCAGTACAATGTGCAGCTTTCACACTCACCCCAAAGACTGCAGCCCACATTGCCTTGTTGCAGCGTATGGCTGATACTTGCAATGCTGGAGTGTCCTACTTCCGTGTCGTGAACAGCCATCGTCTCTGGATGGAAAGGAAATGCTCGATGACCTTGTGGATGGAAGTTACCCGATTCCTACGTGGGTACAACAGCCTAGCCCACGAAATGCTGTCACTTCCCTTCAATGGCTTTGCAGTGAAGCCAAAACTGCATTTATTGGCCCATTGCGACCTGGAGATTCATGAGCTCCTTGCACAGGGAACCGAGATCCAAATGAGCTTCAATGCTCATAACTGTGAGCAATGTGAGGACTTTATCGGGAGGGTCTGCCGTCTCTCAAGACGGCTGGATACTAGAGGAATCGGAGCCCGGATCCTTGTGTGCTGCTACATGAAGTCCAAGATCCTCTACCAGAGGTTTCGCAAACTGCACAAAATCTGAGTGCTCGGCTGAGAAAAGGCTGCGCCAGCTGCAGCCATACTTCACAGGGTTTTGTGTGTTTCTTCAGGCGAGTGTTGTTTCAAGATGTCCCAAGTAGTATTGCGATACGCTTTTGGGCCCTCTAGAACATGTTCTACTTTGTTGCAATCTTGAGCAAATGATGACACTTCATTTTGGCACTACCTTGAATTGAAGGAGGAGGCGGGGCAAAACAGAAACATGTGCCAGCCATGCTTTCCCTGGGGGATCCTGTGAGCAACCGAAGGAGATCATGCGAGCGATATTTTTTTCAAAGAGCGATCTTTCTGCATGAGAGCGGAAAATTCTTCAATCTCAACTTCGAGCGATAATTTCGCAGCACCAGAGGGTATAGGTATAGTCTTGGTTTATGCCTATCTCACTGGTTTTGGTTTTACTACTGGAAAAACCTTCCCGAAAAACACGTCCATTGGGGAACCTTTCCCTTCCTTCGCGATGGTGTTCCCCGGGCACCGCATAAAGTCACAAAAAAAAACATAAAAAAGGGAACTATGACGGAAACATATACGGAGACTGCTGGTCATCTACCAACATATACTGGGAGCCGACCCTCTGCCAACCCCACCTAGGTCCGCTTTTCTTGCACTCCATCAAGCAAAGGCCTAGCAAAGAGATACAACCCACACTATCACCGGCCAAAACAGCAAACACAAATACAAAAGACTCGCACTAGCACCACTTCTTATGATACAGCGAAGTACGCTTCTTCCTTTGACCAAAACGGACGCAACAAAAACATCCTCTGTCAGCACCGCGAACGTGTTCCCCTGGAGACTGGACGGGTTGAGGAGTTCCAAGACACAATGAAGCTCTTGCCTAGCCCTAGCCACTAAGCCTAGCCCTCCGCTGGACCATTGAAAGAATAGTTGATCTGAAACAATGGCTGTGCCGTTTGTGACCCAATTTGACCCCCGTCGGTTGCTTTGGATCACTTAAACCTGGAACTTCGTTACGGCATGTACTGTTACGGCAATAATAATTGCCGTTTTCATGAAACGTCGCCTTTTTCCGTTCTGCGGCGTTCTTCCATACTGATCTCATGGGGACGGCGTTTCTTGATGAACTGCGGCAGTTTCGGTCAGTTGACGGCAATTTTGGTCCACACATCCATGCGCCTCAAAGAGTCATTTCGTTTTAGTTTTAGTGCAGGCGAGTATATGAAAACATTGTAGGGTCTTGCTTGAAAGGCAACTGAACATAAAAGGCGTCTTATTATATCAGCAAACTCGCAGCGCATAGTCATGTGAAGTGGAAAGGGCAGCTGATGGAAGTGTCACATGCTGGGTTTTCGTCGGTTTTCGCGGGTAACTCGACCTCTTGCGCGGCGTTGCAGAAGATTTTGCGTTTAAAGTTACGGCGTTCTTTACCCGTACTTACGGCGTTTTTCCCCGTACTTACGGCGTTTTCCCCCTACTTACGGCGTCGTTTCCTTACCCTGTCTAGGGTCACTCAAGGTGGCAGCAAGAATTGTCACAACATGTCACAAGCCATTGCATGATGAAAATGTGAATAAATCCTGCCGTGATGACAAGGGCTGCAACATCTTGAGAAGTGCTACCATGAGGCTTGAAAACGATGAGCTCTACTTACAAGTGAAAAAGGAGAAGGCAATTTCAGGGTATGGACGGACCAAAACAATATCCTCTGTGGTAGATCAAACAAAACGGCGATTCTTCTTTTGTGACGGCGTTTTCACTTCTCTGACGGCGTTTTCACTTTCCAGGGATTGAGCTACGGCAGAAAAGATGAGTTATGGCAAAAATTATTGCCTCAACAGCCTACGGCAAAAATTATTGCCTCGGGAGGCACGTAGTGTTGCGCGACTCCAGGTTGTTCGGTCCAGGAGTGAAGAAGCTGGACCATGACTTGTTTTGTTTTTCAATTATAACAGTGGTTTCAGAGGTTCGATGGCATAATCCTTTAGATGGGGGTTCATATAAACCACCGTTTGGGGACGGTGAAACCACTGCATCTTCCTTCAGCACCGGGTCCGATTCCAAACACTCATCTTGGATGCCATGGTCCGTCGTCATTGCCGCGGTCAATCAAGGGAGGAGTGATTAATTGAAAGGAGCCATGCAAAAGACAATTTTGCTCAACAACTCTGGAAGTAGGAGTGATCCCAGAAAAGTAATTCCGATTCATTTTTGAGGTTTAAGTAAAGCTCCTGTCCCACCTCAGGTTCGGTGGTATTCGACCTTCCTGGCACCCACCCCAACTCTCTTCGAAACGGAGGTGGGCCAGGTTTTGTAGGCGTTGAAACCAAAAGAAACCGATTCGTCCCGGCTACCCCCAGGGAGTCTGCCGCTGCCTTGGGCGCAAGCTCCTGGACACTGAACGAAGGATGACACGAAGCGTTGAGTTTTTGTGGCGACGCGGAATGACAGACCACATGGCTTGATCACTTGTTTGGGACCACTAGTATCCATTTTGTTGTTTTTGTATTGTATTATTGTGTTTTTGTATGTTCAAAACATAAGTACTGAGTCACTGGGATTGGAGCCACGAATGTGGATGGAAGTGTAAGTAAACCACTATTCGTGTCAATCCTTTAAACGGAAAGCGGTTTGCGCAGGTCTTTCCACCTCCTTCAAAGGAAACTGATGAGCAGTGGTCCAACCATCGAGCCCGTAGTGGTCTTGACCTCCACTATCAAAAATATGTGGATGTGGTTCTTTCCTTGCACTTTGCGACCACTTTGATTTGGTCCCTCCATTATGACGTTCATCACGATGACCATCATGTGGCTCAACCAGAGCAAAACAACCAGATCAACTCGTCGTGGAATTCCACCAGCTGCTTCAGTTCCTGAGTCGCTGTTTCTTCTTTTTTTGGAGTCGCTGAGTCAGTGATCTTTTCCAGGCCTAAGTGAGAATAAGAATTCACCTGCCCGAAAAAAGAAACAAACGCCTGCAGGTTGAATCAACACGTAATATCTTGCAGTCCAAAGACAGGTCCTGTCCTGGCCCTCTTCGTGCACTTCAACTTCGGGCTCATGCTGGCGAGGAGCAAAAGAAGTGCTGAAGGGGTGGGGATCCAGAACATTTTTGGTGTGTGTGTGTGTCACCCCCTGTGCCAAAGGGTTCAATGCCACTGCTTTCCATTACAACCACTCAATGAGGCAGGGGCGTGCAGCATCTGTGGTCCACTGCACGCAACGAAGCTACGACCACAGATGGGAAGGGATCAAGGACGCTTGATCCTGTACCTGCCGAGTTTTACAAGCTGTCCACCCCACTTTTCCACGGTTTGATTCATGGTTCTTCATGTTTCTCGCCCCTCAAACCGGTTTCTGTCAGCTTTGCAGTGTCCGCTTTGCAGCCGCCGCAGCCGCTGTCGCGCTTTCGTGAAACAATTCCCAAGGTGGGAACTGAGTGTAACTGAATACCAATGTCAGAGTGTGTTTCGCTCAGCCGTCCCACTCGGGTGCTGAGTGTGATCCCCGTCACTGGGGCGCTGAATTCACGCCGGAAATCGTGTAACCAACCTTAACTGAATTTACTGCCTCCACGGCCGCCGGGCCAAAAAACGGTGAACCACCACAGCCGCCGGGCTATAAAACGGTACTCCCCTTGCAGTCATGCAGTCAGGCAGGTTTCCCATCCCACCCCCCCCCGCGTCCCGACCTAATTAGGGTAACATAGGGAAATGGTACTCGACACACTTGTGTGTCGGTGCCTTTCCCTTTGTTGTCCCTGTTCTAGCCTATCCTACCCGGGCGGTCTAAGACTAAAGTCCCGCTCCCTAACTATTGCATTTAATTCATTTCTGCTAAGTAATCAGTAACTCTAGAGTGCTAGGTATTCAGACACACACATGTACACACACACACATGAACATACACCCCCTCCCTGCCCCCCGCTTTCTTTCTTGCGCCTTTCGTCGTTTGTTGGGCTTTCTCTGAGGCTTTTTAGGTTGCTCTTGAGGCTCGTTTCCCTGCCCCAGTCAAGGGCTAAGTATTCATTTTTTCTACACCTACCTTTCTTTCTTGCCCTCTTAGCGCTGCTCTTTCTGTCTTTCTTTTCTTTTGTTTGTAAGGCTTTTTAGGTGACTATTGAGGTTTTTCACACGCGCGCCGCGAAGCGGCACCGTGTGTGTGCGTCACCCCCTGTGCCAAAGGGTTCAATGCCACTGTGTTCCATTACAACCACTCAATGAGGCAGGGGCGTGCAGCATCTGTGGTCCACTGCACGCAACGAAGCTACGACCACAGATGGGAAGGGATCAAGGACGCTTGATCCTGTACCTGCCGAGTTTTACAAGCTGTCCACCCCACTTTTCCACGGTTTGATTCATGGTTCTTCATGTTTCTCGCCCCTCAAACCGGTTTCTGTCAGCTTTGCAGTGTCCGCTTTGCAGCCGCCGCAGCCGCTGTCGCGCTTTCGTGAAACAATTGTTCAACATTCAATTACTCGGACTTATGCAGCCTTTCTGTTCCCTCACCTTCCTTCCCAACGTGGGAACTGAGTGTAACTGAATACCAATGTCAGAGTGTGTATGTACCTAGACCTGGACCACCAACTACTCAAAATATGGTCTTTTCCTACGTACCAAACCAGGGGTCAAAAATGGGTTCTTTTCGCTGGGTTGGCTGGTCTATGTCCTTTCTTCCGGGGGGTGGTTCAACCTGGGACGTCTTCCTGTTTTCATACACACTTTTCCCTGTCCCTAGGGCTCCAGTCGTACCTTCTGAGAAGGTGGGACTGGGGTGGGTGCCAGGAGGGTCCAGTCATACCGAACCTGAGGAGGTACGACTGGAGGTGTAGGGTGTTTGGGGATTCTGCGGAAGATTCACAAGTCGTGTGTGTCCAAAACGTGAACCCGCGTTGCGCGAAGGTAACGCAAGTGCTGCTAGTGATGATGCTGGTAAGGTCAGTTGCTAGTGAGTCAGTGAGTTTATTGGTGAATGCTGATGTAAAAGGCATTCGCAACCTACCCAAGCCTACCCCTGGGGCTGCAAGATCCTAATGATGCACCATTGAATCCCCTCTTGGATACACCATGATAACCCCTAAAAGAGACTCGTATTCCATGGAG